GTGTAGGGATGATTAACTCTTAAAAGTAATACCTTTTTTCAAGTGTCTTCTCCCTCCACTAATTATTACATTTGTAATTAGGATTATGATTAATATTGTACTCTGTACTAATATAAATGTTTAATAATTAAATATCTTTGTTTGGTCTGATTGTACGAAATACCAACCTAGCTGTTTTTTTTGTTTTTGAATTTTATTTTTTTTGCATATTTGTTGGTGTGAGCATGTGTTTCCTCGTTTGTAAATGTGTGGATATGTTGTCTCTACCACATTCCAAACCCTAATAAAGTCCAAACATAAAAATGGGCAAAATAGCATATTCAATACAGATATCCTAAAAATAAGTTACTGTCAGGCGCCAAGTGAAAAACAAGAGTAAAGGATTCTGCGGGAAACGGCATAACTTAATCACCCTACTTGATTTTCTATCCCAATTCCCAAGTTCTATTCCTTCATGGCACCGTGGCACGTGCCCATAATTAACGTTAAATATGAGAATAGGCATTCAGATTTAATGGTGCTACTCTTACCATGTACTCCAACATTCTAAGAACCGCTGGCAAGAAAATCCATATTTTAATTTAATGTATTTACAAGTACCCTTTGGGAAATAGAAAGAATCGGAACGCAGTCATATTTGCAAAACAAAATCCTGGCATAATCCATCTAGAAGCTAAGGAAGAAAGTTCATCTGCTTACGTTGAAGGAGGGAAATCAGGTTTTGTCTCATGTTGAAGCAGAGAATCCAAAGCCATCGTAAAACATCGTGCTGATTTCACCATCAAGGCTTCCTCAGAAAATGCAACTGTGGTGCCAAACACAAGCTCAAAAACATAGCTCAGCTATCCACAGTCAGCATCTTGTCTATGCTCGAAAAACTTTGATAGAAAGCTTTGAAATGCTTGTAAGCAATGTCTATATCTTCCTTGCCACATATTTCCCTTATACTGCAACCCAAGTGAAAGCAAACTCAAACCATATTTTAATCTTGTAGTGATCAGAGATGAATGAAACTTGAAAATAAGAAAACTTGCTTCTTTTCAAGCATGGCTTTTTGTTTTATTTATTTATAAGAGAATAATTTCAACAAGAGGAAGACAAGAATTTGATCAGGATAACAGTTATTGGGCTTATTAGTGATAAGAAAAAGACAATATTGGCCACATACCAACAACTGGCACCAGACCCTAAAAGAGAAAGTTAAACCTTAAATATAAATACAACAAAAATGATTTTTGCCCCGGTTCAGAAATACTAAAAAACCATATGGTTTGTTGAGTTTCATCTTTGGTCATTTCATATGCAAGATGTATCCGAACTGACTGCCAGACATGGTTATATAGCTTTTTTAGTATCATGGTGTCACAAAGGCTTTGATTAAATATAGGCTTTATTTTTTTTTCCACTAAAAAAATTATTAATGCAAAAATCATTTGATACCTGTGCATTGAAAGTTGAGCAATACCACAGTCAACCGTTCGTATGCCAACCCCAGAAGCAAGTATTGGACCTATGGTTGATCCACATCCCATGTCATTTCTGACCACAAATTCCTACAGTTAAAGTAGACAGAATGTAATTTTTTTAGATGCCTCAATTATGTGATAAATCAATAAATCAGAGAAAAGAAGACATAACACACTTATCAATACATTAGTTTTTCATTTTCGATAATTCATGGAAGTTTTACTATCTCTCTTCCCTATAATGGTTCAAAAATTAGTTTCATAAAGAGAAAGAGGTGCCTCCAGAAAAGTATCTAATATTAATATGTTACGTCCAATGGTCTGTGATTAACAATATAAATATAAGGTGTATAAAACAATTGCAGGAAACTGATAGGCTAATTCATAAATGGATGGTGATCTCTTGCTAAGCTCAAGGTGCACATAGAAACTTTCCACCAAAATGCTTGTGACGAGGACAGGAGTTGATACAAGCATACAAATTAGTTCATATTATGAAGCCAATATATAAAGCAAATGAGAAGAGAGAAGAATCTATTCCCAGCAGGTATTGCTTCACTGGCCTTTTTATTTGTTTTTTATTTCCACACATTGTGCAGGTAGATGATTAAATTATTTTAGATTCTATTTAATTAAAAAGTATTCATATATATATATATATATATTATATTGTTAAAAGTAAAATGATTAATTTTGTGTATAATATTCTGTTAAAATAGTTATGTGTACATTATATATATAAATAGTTTAGTAAAATCTTTATAATAAAATATATGATTAATTTTTATATTTGTAATGGGTGAACCTTTAAGCTAATATATTGAAAAATAATTCTAATCAACAATGAGCAAAGATTATTAAGACTTGCAACAATAGTGATGACTGGTGATGGATAAAGATAGGCCAAAAATACTCTTTGATCTTTTCTTTGATACTTGTTCTATTGTTCTTGGCTATGGAGTTAGGTTGGAATGTAAAACAACTTAAATATAGTAACTCAAACAGTTAAGATAAATTGAACAGTTCAAATAAACTTACAATTAATTCAAAGAGTAACTCAAACAATTAATATAGTTTAAAGGAAATTCAACTCATGTTGAGAAAAGTTAAATAAAGAAAAATAGGTAAATCAAGGAGAAGCTAAAAAATCAACATGGTGTAGATAGATGTGTATAAACATATGCGATCATAAAGAGGAATTACCTGGGTTGGAAGGTTATGGATTTTTCCAACTTCTTTAAAAAGAAAAGATGTGATTCCACTAGTAGCATAGCGCTGGTTTGCATTGTGCTTGATAACCAATCCTTTCTGCAGCTCTGGTCGGTGGAGTTCATCATGCTTATCCATAAAATTTGGATGAACTCCATGGGCCATATCTGCAGACACTATTAGGGATAGAATCCAAAAGATACTTTAGTGGTCCCTGATAGAAAGCTAATTGAATATACATATACTCTTTTATCCTGAATAGAACTATTATATTATTACCACATTTAACATCTAATTGAATGGAAAATGCATGTTGCAGGACAAATCATCAGCACATTTTCATTAAATACTGAAACAAATTCACGCATAACCACTTTTTCCCACTTTTTTTTAAGAAAAAAATTCAAAATCTGGTTTGTACCCAAAAAATCAAATTGACATTCTAACAGATCTAGCAATCAAAAGAGAATGCCCTACACCATACCATTCTAATTTTACATTTACAAATTCTGAACTTCCCAGCCCAAATCCATTATCTTTGAGATTTGCCTTTCCAGAAGCCATTGTAGCTAGATATTCTAGTTGATTATAACACATGATGGACAAATGAAGTTTGCAAACAATCCAAAATATTAGAATCAAATTGATGGTATCAACCCATGTATCACTTAGCACAGATTTACTTAGAAGCACAGATTTACTTAGAAGGTTGATAAGTGGATGATATACCAAGAAATGATTGGCGTATAGTGCGCTCAAAAGTGCCTTCACCGACATAGTCACTCGCTAAATCACTAACTATACGTCTCATGGCCTGAAACATGGTGGGTGCTCCAGCTCCTTGAACAGAACCTGAACCCACCTAAATAGAAGCAGTTAGACATAGCATTGAGAAATCAAGGGTGAAATGTCATGATACTGCAATAAAAAAAATGCTTTGTAACTATTCATAAACAGGGAAAATTCTATTTTATCCTAATGGATTTACAGCTTTCAATTTTTCAAATGTAAGAATTTTCTCATCTTGGGACATCTTTTAGAGGGGAGGGGGTCTACAGGTGCAAGAACAGTTTGAATTTAATATTATTACATAAAATAATTGCAGACACAATTAAAATATATACTGATTGAAGTTAAGGATATTACTCCTTAATATCATAAAGGATTTAGTTTCATCTACTGTAAGTGTAAAGTGTTTTACACCAGAATAAATGGTATGGTGCTATTTTCATTAATTTGAAGGAGAGTTAAAACTTAGTGCAATGGTTTAATGACGTAGCATTGTATAATGATATTGAATAATTATATGCATTTGACCTTAGATAAACTCCGTCAAAAAATTTGTTAATAAGTAATAACAAGACATCAATCAAAATTCTCAGTAATTTTTTAATAAAAGGAATCAAACCACTTATAACAAACCCATTCCACTTAATTCCCAAGTGAATGGAACAATTTCCTATTTTCTTTAATTCTGATATTGGATCTTAACAATGGCTTCAGAGAAAGAGACTCCAAAGGTTTGAAACAATCTCCCTTGTGCCTGGTTTGGAAGGTTTATTGATTTAGTCCTTGATTTTGGATTGAAGGGAAGCAGTTATGATCATTCTGTTTACAACTGGCAGTTTAGTGGTGGTTGTGTCCACATGGTAGTAATAGTATATGGTGATGATACACTCACAGATAGGAGTGACACCCTACATTATGTCCTACAGGCTTTTCATTTAGAGACAAATATTTGGTGCTTTTGGTGAATCCCAGGTGTGTCTTTCCAATTTGGAGCAATTTCCAACATAATAAGCACATAATTTATTGTTGGCAAGCAACAATGGAACAACATCTGACATCTATAAACAAAACAATAAGCAAGAAAAAGAAATACCTCTTCATTGTCAAATAAAGCAACCATCCGAATTGCATGTTCACTTGCTAAGTCACCAGGAGATTCACAGGAGTCAATAAGTGCCCTTAATGCACAATAACTTGAAGCTAGATTATCTAATCTTCCAGAAAAAATAAATTCATTGTTTCCACCTCCAAGGCAGCTAGGTTGAGTATCACAAACATTCAGTTCAATATTCACTATGTCATCAACATCACAGTTCAACTCATCTGACAGAACCTGAGAATTAACATAAAGGCTATTATAAAGAATTGTAAGGAAACTAATTTACAGTTAAAACTTAATTTAAAATCATGATGGATAAACTATTGCACAATTCCATTTCCGGAATAAAAGTATTACATTTTACCCATATAAATTGCTAAAACACCTAGAAATCAATCTAGTTTGATGCAGCAACTTATTCCAAAATCGAAGCTACTAAACTTGGGCTATGAAATACAAAATCGGTGGCATGCAACCATTCTCATGTGAATTCATGTTACTTCATTGACTCTGGGAAAGATCATTAGTACTCATTCTGTCATTATCATTTTCAGTGTTCCTTGTTGCCTCCTTTTTTTTTTTTTTCTTCTCTTATTTGTCAGCTGCTCTTTTTAATTCATTTAATTTCTTATCACATTTTTATTTTAGATATGAAAGCAATCAAATATCTCGGTTGATGATCCTTAGCCACAATGCAAACATCCCTTTCTCTGATTAAGAATCTTCATTCCCCATCTTCCCATAAATTGCCATGCATTTACATACCAAACATCTAATGAATCCAATTCATTGGCATATTTCTTTGTAATGGACCAACGAATAAGATAATATATGAAAATTAAATTGCACAGTTTTCTGACACTAAGAAAGTACTAGTACAACTATAAAGGAGAATGTTAATCTGAAAGGTACAATTGTTTCTTATACCAAAGTCAACATCAACTATAGAATGTGCTATGAAATTAGATTTCTAATAGTGATCAAGACCTGAAAAGTCAGCATCATATGATCCTAATTTTCTTTCTTCAACTCACTCTAGGCTGCACTAGAAAGAATTGGAAGCAAAGAAGAGAACAAAAGTTATGCTGTACTTCTTTTGTGAGACTGAATAGAATCAATATCGCCAGGTTTATTTTGTTTTTGAAATACTTGTTTGAAATCAATATCTTTTTCCAAGATATATCTATAAAGTGTGTTTGGATACAATCTTAAAAGTGTCTTAGAAAGCTTCTCTATTGAAAAATATTTTTTATTTCCAGTAGAGAAGCTCTAAAAAGTGTTTTTAGCTTGTATCTAAATAGACTCATAGTTTAAAACCCCCCGAAAGTCACAAATTACAAATAAATAATATTTAACTAGTTGAAATCCATGACTTGACACGTGTTGAAACCTTGGGCAATACTTGACATTCAAGTTGATAGAAGCAAAGACAAGAGGTACCTGCATAAGCAGTGGATGATGATAAGAACTAGTCTTCTCCTTGGATTCGAGAGAAGCGTCCTCATGTTTCATAGAAAGTAAAGGAAGAAGTTGAGTCTCTAGATTCGGTTTAAAACCATCCTTGTTCACTGTGCTAAGCAAGAAAACAAATAAGAGAGGGTGATAAATCGGTGGCATGTTTTAGTGGGAAGAAAGTTATGTATATATGTACCGGTCAAGATGAATGGCGAGTGTGGGAATGCGCAAAATGGGTCTATCGACTTTGACAAGCTTATGCACGTAAGAGTTAGCGGTGCTTCTGAGAATGACTCTCCCAGCAACGCTCAAATCCCTATCAAACCAAGTGTACCACAAGCCAGCTCCATAAGTCTGCACATTCACCATCGAGTAGTTACACTTGCACGACGCCGTTTTGGGCTTGAGTTTGAGGCAGGGGCTGTCGGTGTGCGCCGCTATGACGTGAAAAGCGTCGCCGACATTGTACCTTGGAAAAACGACAAGGAATGAATGAACGAATGAATTGAAGAAGTAAGTGAAGTGAAGAGAATTTACTTTTCTCCGACGGCGAAAGCAACGAGACAAGACATGTTGCGTGTGAAGAAGTAGCGTCCACCGGGCTTGAGGTCCCATTCTTGGTTCTCGTGAAGCAAGTGGAAACCGGCGGCGATTAGGTGTCGTTTAGCCTCCGCTGCAAACGAATTAAGCATTAATTGTGGTTTAGAGAATAATTGAATGGTGTAGGAAGAATACCTGTGGCGTGGAATTGGGTCCAGGAGTGGTTGAGGTAATCGAGGAGGTCGGGGACGATGGAAATTGAATTGACGGAACACAAGGTGCTACCATGACGATGACGATGAGGAGAAGAAGCTTGTTTTGAGGAGAATAGTGAATTTGGGAAGGGTTTGAGTTTGAGCGATGGAGAGCGAGAGTGTAGTAGAATGTGCGGTCCTGTTATCGACGCCATTTTTCTTTTTCTTTCTCTTTTCGGATCACTCACCACACCAGTCACGTCATTAGAATTTAGATTTATATATATATATATATATATATATATGCAAAAATACATTTATCGTCTTTTATATTATTTATTAGTGTTAATTTAATTTAATTTTCATTAATTTAGTTTTACATCTTTAAAATATATCTCAATATTTGACATTTTATGTGAGATCAAATTGATTCAATTAATTAATATTGAACTAAATTGACACTAATAAATAATATAAGAGACAAAAAATATATTTTTACTTATATATATATATATAAATAAGTGTTATAATAATATAATAATTTTATATTAAATATAAATTTGATGTAATATTAAATATTTTTACATAATAAATATATTTATTTTAAAGTAATAATATTTGTCCAATGGAAATATGAAGTAAAGAAAAAAATAATAGAGAAAGTGATAGACAAAGTAAAAGATGTGATAGAAAAGGGTTAGACAAGAAGAAAATGAAGTAGAAATGGAGGAAAAAGGAAAATAAATGGATGATTATATATATATATAAGGAGTGTTAAAATAATATTGATATAATTTTTACTAAGTATTATACCGCTCATTATCTTCATATTAAATGTGAATTTTGTAAATCCAACCGTTAGATTGAAAGTTCATATCATTTTATATGTTTATATCAAATTTTGTTAAAATTGAACAATAACTTGAAAATAATTAAAGTATTTATATTTTAGTATATTTTGAAATATATATATTATGTCAATTTTGATTTATAAGAATGATGTATTAAATCATCTTAGATTAATATAAAATTATGTATATATGATTTAAGAGTAAAGAACTTTCAATATAACGGTTAAATTTATAAAATTCACATTTAATATAAAGTTATTAAACAGTGTAATATTTAGTAAAAGTTACACCGATATTATTATAATTTTTCTCTCTCTATATATATTTGGATAATTAAGAATTTTTGTATTTTATTTATTTTAAATAATTTATCATTTTGAAAATTAGGATAATAATATTTTTAAATTTTTATTAAATGGAATGAAATACTAATGTAGATAGATTTAATTACGATTTTAATGGTTAATAAAAAAAAGAAGAGAAAATAGTAAAAAAAAAAAAGGGTTTAATACCTCAAATGCAAAATGAAATAATATTCTAAAAAATGTTACAAGTTATTTATATTATCTCATAATTATTGTCGTTTAAGTTTTTTTTAACATAAAATAATAAAAATTAATTAATAAATAAAAAAGAATACGAATTTTATAAAATTAATTTTATTATTAATATTTTATTAGAAACAATATATAACGATAACAACTTTCTAAAAATATTATTAAGGATATAAATAACAAAAAAAATTAATATTACATTTAGAAGCTAAAATAAATGTTAGTTTGAGATTTATTTTTTCTTCTTACATAATACTACTTGTTATGAGATGGAAAGAATAATAAATAAAATTTTATTTAAATAGTTTTATTACATCAAACAAACTTTTGAGTTATTCAAGTAAGTTAAAACCATTATTATTATAACAACCTGAATGGAATTAAACACAATTTTATTAAGTAAGATAGACTTTTGAGTCTTATAAATAAAAATAATATAGTAAAGATCTTCACCAGAGATTAATTTTTTGATAAAATGAATAAATATATAAGATCATCTAATTTAAGGAACATGTGTAGCAGGGATATAAACAAGTTCATGCTCTTGTTGTAAAGATTACTATATATATGATCCACTAATTTGAGAAAACAATTTAAGTAAAAATCATAAATTAGACGTATGCAGATATAATAATAAAATGAAAATTGAGATGTACTTATTTTAATTTTAATTACAACTAGAGATAAACAACAATAATTATTATAAAATAAGTAGATTAAAAAAGTTATTATGATAAAGATTAATAAAGAAACTGAAAATTTAACTTGTTACAGTAAAGATTGCTTGCTTATAACTTTTTCCCTTTGGCAACCTTGCATTTTGCAAATAAGAACAAGCGATACATCACCAAAGATATTCATATGCTTGGAAGGATTATTAACTGGACTTTTCAAGTTACTTAAAAGCATCAGCAGGAGAATCTTAATGAGAATTAGCTATTTTGAGAAGAAAACCAATCAAGTAAAAACGAAGATCTACGACTTCTCTCAACATCCTCCGCATTGCTAACACGTGGCACACACAATGTAATAAAATCGTCCCTTACCAAGTTATTTAATAATCACTGTTCTCAATAGACCTAGTTAATTCTATCATCTAATCCAGATTGATTCGCTGGCTTAATTATATTTGCCACATTATTGCAATAACATCATATAGTTTAGGTATAGAACTTATAACTAGATGCATCAGCAGCAATATTCCTCAAGCCACCAATAGTAGATGCCAACATAATGCACACTCCTATGTATATTGCAACCTGAAAGTAACAATCTGAGGGTCAACGCACACAGTAAACAACCTGAAAGTAACTGTCTCTTTTGATGCCTCTAAAAGGTAAAGTTGCTAATATAAATTGTTAATCATTACCCAATTTATGAACCAGTTGATGCTGAATCTTCTTGGCTTCTTGATTATCAACCATATTATACTAGGAAGCTGAAACAATTAACGTGCCACATTATTGTTTTTCTGATTTTTGAATTAGTTTTTGTAAATTTCCCAATTTAATATGTGCATGGGGAAATTGAAATGGCAAGAGAGCCTTACAAAATATGAAGTGGGAGCAAAACCAAATCCACCAAAGAACCCAAGAAGATCGCCAAAGAAAGGAAAAGTGACCCCAATGAATAATGTAAAAGCTGAAACATTTTTACAAATTAATGTCACATTAAAACATCACAAATAAAGCACTATTCTTCTACTCCTTAGTCTGCACTTCACAAGTCACAACGAAACAGAAAAATGTTTTGCAGTGATAGCATGGATTGGTTTTGAGTTTTGATATCTCACCTACATAAGCAGTTCGAGCAACAAGTCTGAGTGCTAGTCCTGGAGGGAAGTTCAATCTTCTAATCATCATTCTTTCAATCAAGTCAAAAACAGGCATAGCATAAACCTTCAATTGATATTTTCCTCACCAATTAGTTAAGAAACATAAAGTGCTTAATAAATTGTGATATAACTTATAAGGTCTTGGTTTTGCATTATTTCATACCTGGTAGCTACCAACAACATGGATGAATACCATCAAGTTAGCTGAGGCAATAAGCCATTCAGGCCTTTCAAGTGCCATAAGCACATTATCATCAACAGCTTGTCCAAAAGCCCAGTATCCTATAAGTGCAACTGGGAAATAGCATATTGCATTGATGAAATAGGCACCAATAGCACCGCGCCACATTGGTATCTTTGAGGGTTTTTCAGGGGTTGATGGAATTGTAGCCTGAATTTCAAGGGCCACTGCATGACCAGCAAATGCAAATGAGATTTGACCAAGTGCATTGAAGACCCGGAACATGAAGTCAATATCACTGGTTTTCTTGTAAGCATAGCTAACATTGTCAATCCGACCTCTAACCAAGCAAGCCAACCAGGCTATAGTTGAATAGCTGCAACCAAAACCCCATCAAAGTAAGGTGTATATATATAGTGCTTTTCAAATAATAATAATAACCACTTACTTGCTCTCTGATACTTACTTTTCACTATCATCCCATCACTTGTTTGTTATTTCATGAAAACTACCCCAAAATAGCAAGGAAAAGAACAAATGCTGGTGGCTCATTTCTCACTCCTATCAAAGTAGTATAATTTGAAACTATAGTATAGGAAGAGTACGTATAATCTTCTACTAAATTTTACTGGTAATTGATGCAACCCCAGTTCAAGAAAGGACCTTTCTCCAAAGTATGATATTGTCAATCAAATGCAGAGTTCACCAAAATATAATCTTCTCAGTCCTATCAGAGTCCAACATACTTATTTTACTTTAGAAGCAAACACTTTACATTCATACCCTAAGGGTGAAGTTAATGATGTGTTGATGTCTTTCATTTCATTATCCTTTCTATCAATTTCTTAGTTTATGAGATAGATCTTTATTGATGTATGTTTTAAGAAAATTCCAAACTACATATTTTCCTTCGGTCCTTGTATATCAAGCTAGCACTCAGGATTGATAAATAATCAAATTAAAAGGCTAGTGTTCAAGAAAAGACTAGTCAAGTTCAAGTAGGATCAAGAAGCACCTTAATGACATGACAGCCGCAGCTAAAGAAACCCCAGCAACAGAATTGAAATTGGGAAGCTGAGACAGGAAAAAATGGATGGCACCAAAAATCAGAATCCAGTAAGACTGCCTAAGTTGTGTGCAATCGGTGCATGCTATCTCCATGAACTTCTTTAGGCACTTCCCCCCAGTAACCATGTACACAATGTCACACCCAACCTGGACAATAAGCTGCTGGGGAAGCACAATCCATGGCCCAAGTTTTGGTCCAAAAGCATGTTTACCTAGATCAATGTAGCGATCAAAACGAGTTCCAGGAACACACTCATGTAACTGGATCATTTGCCACATTGTGTTTAAGGTCAGGCACCATGATAACAACAACATCAAGATCCCTGGACCCCTGCAAAGAAGAGAGAAGATTTTAAACTTTCAGCTACACATTTGTCAAGTTGCCAACTTAGGTCATGGATTAGGTTCTATTTAGATAAATTTCTTCAAAAACACTTGAAAGAAAAAAATTTAACTCATGCACTTAATTTTTTATAGAAGCTCTTTTCATTTAACTTCGCTAAAAGCTAAAAGATAATGAGTATAAGTTAATTTTAGCTAAAGAAAAAGCTGAATGTATTTTTTCTTATTTTCTTCTATTAGTGTTTATGGAAAAAATTATCCAAATAGGTCTCGTTGTCATTCATTTTACCATCCAAGATATGCCATGGCATTGGGCAGGCTGAGAACACCTGCACCTATCATAGCTGTCACAGTGTGGAAAGTTGAGTACCACCATTTGGCCCGGCGAGAGGGGCCATTGTCCACCCATTTGTGTTCTGATTGAACTTCCTGCAATTGTAAAAGATGCAAAAAGAATAAGAGAACTAGTGCAAGAGAAAGAGCATGGTCAATGGTCGTGTCAAGAGGTTATAAATAGACACTGGAATGTATTAGAAGGTAGGGAAGAAGCTGAAACCATTTTAGCCAAGTCACAAAGAGTGGAGAAAGGTGACCCCTAGGATTTTGGAGTTAAAGTGAAGCACATCGGCCATATATATGTGGCGGTTGATGTGTAACAAATAACAAATATTATGTGCAAATAACCATGAACATATGCACCGTACCATTTAGTGATTTCTCTTGTGTAGGACTTTGAATGAGACCAAAACAAGAGAAGGTGGCTGAATTCAAAGAACAAGTGTGGTAGACACAGTAAGTCTTACTATATTGATAAGTGGCAAGATGAGGTAAACCCACTAAAACCAACCCTGAAAGGAAGATTGTCTATCTGATGAAATATTTTATGATCACTATGTGATTCTGGTTATATTTAACTCTACTTCAAATTCTGCCTAGTTACATTGTAGGAAACCTGTAGGGTACAAAGTAATGTTTTTCTATGTGGTCTTGTCTAGTGAAAAGATAACTCGGGAATCATGTTTATGATGGAACATCACTTCATTTGATCATTTTATGGTGGTGTTGGTGTAAGTTAGGGGAGCACCACAGAAGGTTCCCACTCTCAAAAGCGGGTTAATTTAGAGAATCAGAATTCAGAAGATCACATATATTAATTAATGTGTAATTAAAATCCTGAAGATAATGATAATTTTGAAAGATATTTGGAATTATGGGAACGTTTTTGACAGTGAGGGAAAGGCATATAACCTTTAATCATTACTCTTATTAACAATGGTTGTTTTATCCTTGAAAATAAGCCACTAAACTCTATGTTAATGATTAAATTTTATGGCATGGTATTGTTGTTTAAACTTAGTGGAGGGAAGAAAAGAAGGACACTCCATTATAGGTTGTGGTGCAAAGGTTAAGCCAACACTTTTACTCCATATGTATCATATCATATTAACTATTGTATATATATTTGTTTACCTCTTTTTCTCTAGTTGAATTCTCATCTAGTATTGAGTGTTTATAAATTATTTTGATAGTTTTTAATTTTAGATTATTAAGTATTATTAAAATTTGTGTTTAAATTAATTTTATCATTGCTGTGGTTATGAAGAAATTATCTCTTAATTTAAACACAGTTAGAAACCTCAATAATATACATGCTCCATAAAAAACAAAACAAATTAGTATGATGTTAGTGTAGGACAATGAGAAGATATTTGCCCCCAAATTGGTAACGAAAAAAGAAACATGTTGGACCTTGACATAACCTTTCAGGATTAGTGTTGAAAAAGTTGGTGGAGTAAGAAAATGAAATGTACACATCTTAAGCAAAGCAAATTACACTTGAAGCAACACTACGTAAGACATAATAGATTATAGTTTCGTTCCTATTTGGTGAAGATATAATTCCTTAATATCTAAATATTAGTATCATGATGATGCATTCACCTTACTTTATTAGACTTTTAGTCTTTTATAATTTTTTATTGATGGTTTTAATTTTTTAATTTTTTAATTACGTAATTTTAATCTCTCAATTTATAAAAAAAATATTTAATCTTAATCTTTTTAGTAGTTAAATATTAATTGACCACAACATAACATTAATACTGACATAGACTAATGATATATTCATCTATATAGTATAATAAAAAGTTCAATACACAAATTATACTATTAATATTATAATTAATTAAATAAATTTATAATACTAAAATAAGATTATTAATAATTTGATATATATATATATATATATATATATATGCATTAGTAGCCCAACATTCTTTTAATCTATTGTATCTTACATTAGTTTTTTATCTTGTATTTTTTAAAACTAAAGTTTAATAATAAGAAAGTAAATCACTTTTTTTTACCATTAAAATTAAAATAAAAAAAATTAAATAAAAAAATTTTAATAATAAAAAAAAAAGATGACTCTTTGACTTATATAAAAATATGTTTAAATTTTATTTAAAATAGACTTTTAAATAAGTTAAAAAGTCAAGTTAATATTTTACAAAGGTCATGTTAGACCTAAAAAAAAAGTCTATAATAAATAATAAGTTAATTTTAAATCTTAATTTTATAGAATTGGTAAGTCTTATATTTTCAAAACCTAGTTTGAGTTATTATCATACCAACTAACAAGGAGTAACACCTAATAAATAAGAAGAATACGCGGATGAATCAAATACATAACGATTTTATATACTATTGTAAAATTAGTATAGATTTCAACTAATAAAAAAACATGTTAAAAAATGAATATTAAAAAATGTTAATAAAAATACTCTTTTATACTATTGATCATCTAACGTAAAGTTATCTTAATTTTATCAATAGTCTTAAATTTGAGTTTTAATATAAATTTGTTTTAAATTATAGAAGAGAGAGGTTAATCTATCATCTGTAGTAATTTTGTTTGAATAAAATTATCTTTAGTAAAAGGTACATGTATTCTCTAAGAATAAATGAGTGTTTTTTTTAATATTTTAAGAAATTTTTAATTAAACCAATTATTTCTCAAAATTAAGAATCTATTTGTTATAGTTTTTTATTTATAAAAAATCACTTTAAAAAAATCTATGCATTGTTTCAACCTTTCAAAACAATTAGAAGTAAAAACAATATACAATGTGTTTAGAATTAGGTATTAATTGAATACGCACTATAAGAAAATTGTTATATAATAACACATATCTTATAGTGATATAATATTTATTATTAAAAATTATTTTTACTTACATAATAAATATAATATATATTAATATATTATTAAAAAATATAAGTATAAACTATAAAAGACACAAATATTATTAAATCTCATATAAAATTAACATTAAAATTTACG